ACGAAGCAACAGACAAAGGATTAATCTCAAAAATATACAAGCAACTCCTGCAGCTCAATTCCAGAAAAATAAATGGCCCAATCAAAAAATGGGCCAAAGAACTGAACAGACATTTCTCCAAGGAAGACATACAGATGGCTAACAAACACATGAAAAGATGCTCAACATCACTCATTATCAGAGAAATGCAAATCAAAACCACAATGAGGTACCATTACACACCAGTCAGGATGGCTGCTATCCAAAAGTCTACAAGCAATAAATGCTGGAGAGGGTGTGGAGAAAAGGGAACCCTCTTACACTGTTGGTGGGAATGCAAATTAGTACAGCCACTATGGAAAACAGTGTGGAGATTTCTTAAAAAGCTGGAAATAGAACTGCCATATGACCCAGCAATCCCACTTCTGGGCATACACACCCAGGAAACCAGATCTGAAAGAGACACGTGCACCCCAATGTTCATTGCAGCACTGTTTATAATAGCCAGGACATGGAAGCAACCTAGATGCCCATCAGCAGACGAATGGATGAGGAAGCTGTGGTACATATACACCATGGAATATTACTCAGCCATTAAAAAGAATTCATTTGAATCAGTTCCAATGAGATGGATGAAACTGGAGCCCATTATACAGAGCGAAGTAAGCCGGAAAGATAAAGACCATTACAGTATACTAACACATATATATGGAATTTAGAAAGATGGTAACGATAACCCTATATGCAAAACAGAAAAAGAGACTCCGATGTATAGAACAGACTTGTGGACTCTGGGAGAAGGCGAGGGTGGGATGTTTCAAGAGAACAGCATTGAAACACGTATATTATCTAGGGTGAAACAGATCACCAGCCCAGGTTGGGTGCATGAGACAAGTGCTCGGGCCTGGTGCACTGGGAAGACCCAGAGGGATCGGGTGGAGAGGGAGGTGGGAGGGGGGACCGGGATGAGGGATACATGTAAATCCATGGCTAATTCATTTCAATGTATGACAAAAACCACTGCAATGATGTAAAGTAATTAGCCTCCAACTAATAAAAATAAATGAAAAAATAAAAAATAAAAAAATCAAAGAAGAGAATTTTTAAAGCATCAGGGAAAAAAATTATCTTATACAAGACAACTCTCATAAGGCTATCAGCAGATATTGCAGCAGAAGCATTGTATGACAGGAAAGAATGGGAGGATATATTCAAAGAGCCAAAAGAAAAAATGTCAACCATGAAAACTTTACCCTACAAAGCTGACCTTCAGAAATGAAGATGAGATAAAGACTTTTCCAAACAAACAAAAGCTGAGGGAGTTCATCATCTACTATTAGATGTGCCTTATAAAAAATGCTGAAAGGAGTTCTTCAAGCTGAAATGAAAGGCAGCTAACTAATAACATGAAAGCATATGAAAATACACGATACATTGGTAAAGGTAAGTATGTAGTCAGACTCAGAATAATCTAATACTGTAATATGATGGTGTGATAACCATTTAACTCTAGGATAAGGATTATAAAACAAAGGTGTTAAAAATAAATATAGCTACAAGAATTTGTTTATGGTACAGAATATAAAAAAGATGTCAATTATGACAACAAAAACATAAAGTAAGGGGAGAGGAAAAAGAGCAGAGTTTTTTTATATGATCAAAGTTATCAGCTTAAAATAAACTGTTTTATCTGTAAGATATTTCAAGTAAGCCACAGGGTAACTACAAAACAAACAAAAAACTACAGTAGACACATAGACACAAGATAAAGAAAAGAGAATCAAAGTATACCCCAATGGAAAATCATCAGTTCGCAAAAGAAGATGGCAAGAGAGGAAGAAAAGAACAAAGGAACAATGAAACAACCAGAAAACAATGAACAAGATGGCAATAGTAAGTTTTTACTTATCAAGAATTGCTTTAAATGTAAGTGGATTAAATTATCCAATCAAAGGGCACAGAATGGCCGAAAATGTTAAAAAAAAAAGACACAAATACAAGCTGCCTGCAAAACATTCACTTCAGCTAATACACAGGCTCAAAGTGAAGATATGAAAAAGACATTCCATGAAAATGGAAACCAAAAGAGAGGGCAGAGTTAGCTATCCTTATATCAGACAAAATCAACTTTAAGTAGAAAACTGTAGCAAAAGACAAAAAAGGTCACTAAAAATGATAAAATGGTCATGTCATCGAGAAGATAAATCAATCATAAATACATATCTACGTAACATCAGAGCACATAAATATAAAAACATACCAGCAGATCTGAAGGAGTGAAGGGAACAATAGACAACATTACAATATCCACTTTCATCAATGGATAGATTATCCAGAAAGAAATCAATAAGAAAACATTGAACTTGAACTACATATCCAATGTACCTAACAGATATACATGTAGAACATTCCATCCAAGGGCAGCAGAATATACATTCTTCTCAAGCACACATGACACATTCTCCAGGATAGATCAGGTATTAGATCCAAATCAAGGGTAAGCAAATTTTAAAAGACTGAAATTATATGAAGTATCTTCTCCAACCACAATGGTTAAACATGTGGAAATTAAACAACACATTCCTGGAAACCAATGGATCAAAGACGAAATCAAGGGAAAATTCAAAAATATCTTGAAACAAGTGAGCATGAAAACACAACATATCAAAACTTATGAGGTGGGCTTCCCTGGTAGCTCAGTAGTAAAGAATCAATGTGCCAATACAGGAAATTAGGGTTCAATTCTCGATCTGGAAAGATCCCACATGCTGCAGAGCAACTAAAGCCCCTGCACCACAACTACTGAAGCTACTGAAGCCGCCATGCCTAGAGCCCATGCTCCACAAGAGAAGCCATCACAATCATGAGCCAACATGCTGTGACTAGACAGTATCCCCCACTCGCTCACGCAGCAACAAAGACCCAACACAGCCAAAAATCAATCAATCAATAAATAAAATCATATTTAAAAAAAACTTATGAAATACAGCAAAAGCAATGCTAAGAGGGAGGTTTATTATGATAAATGCCTACATTAAGAAAAATGATCTCACTTATGTGGAATCTAACAAACTTATAGATACAGAGAACAAATTAGTGGTTGCCAGATGCAAGGGGTGGGTGCAATGGGTGAAGGTGGTCAAAATGGACAAACTGACATTTATAAAATAAATAAGTCCTAGTGATATAATGCACAGTATGGTGACTATAGTTAATAATGCTGTATCACATATTTGAAAGATGCTAAAGAAAGGATCTTAAAGGTTCTCACTGAAAAAAATTTTGTAACTATATACAGTGATGAATGTTAACTAGATTTATTGTGGTGATCATTTCACAATATACACAATACTGAATCATTACATTCTATACCTGAAACTAATATCAATTATACTTCAGTTTTTTAATTAAATTAAATTTAAATGTTTTTAAATGAATTTAATTAATGAATGTTCAGTATAAAACTTGGGAAGATATCCCTAAATAAACCTAAGAGACTTTAAAATCCATAACAGGAAACAGAGAAATGTTAAAAATACTTTCATACAGCAAAATATACCCTAAACAAATCAATATATAGGAGGAAAAATATCTGTGATATAGATGGGAGATAAAAGTTAATTATTGACAGAGAACTTTCCCAAATTGAAAAACAACCAAAAAATTTAATTGACAAATCAATGAAAACCAAATGCCGATGACATGCTCAAAGCTATACAGGAATTAAAGTAACAAAGATACCATTTTATACATATCACATTGGGAGAATGTAAGACCTCTATTGCTTTTAGGGAGAGTGCTCAAACTTGTTGGTGGAGATAAAAAGAAATTCAAAATTTTGGGAAAGTAATCTAGAAACATATATTTAAATTAAACTTATTCATACCCTTAGATTCATCAATATCTGAAAATGAATTTTATACAAACAAAGGCTCAAATATTTTAGGAATATGTAAAATGATATTACAGCATGGTTTGCTGCTGCTGCTGCTAAGTCGCTTAAGTCGTGTCCGACTCTGTGCGACCCCATAGATGGCAGCCCACCAGGCTCCCCCGTCCCTGGGATTCTCCAGGCAAGAACACTGGAGTGGGCTGCCATTTCCTTCTCCAATGCGTGAAAGTGAAAAGTGAAAGTGAAGTCGCTCAGTCTTGTCCGACACTTAGCGACTGCAGCCTACCAAGCTCCTCTGTCCAGGCAAGAGTACTGGAGTGGGTTGCCATTGCCTTCTCCACAGCATGGTTTATGAGGGCAAAAAACCACAAAGTACTCATCAGCTGGTGAATAACTAATAAATGATATAAATGATATCATAGAAATGGTACATCCACACTATAGAGTACTACACAGCTATTAAATGAATCAGGGATTTCCACAACGTACTGGTGACTGTGAAATGTAAAATGCAGTATCTATGCTAACAAAATTTCCAAAAGAAACAATAACAAAAACCCACCATGTGTATGCATGTATGTGAATAATTATGTAACTACAAATAAAAATGTTAAAGGAAAATCATAAGGTTTTTCAGATTGTATACAGACAGGGGAATGGTGATGTGCCAGAGGAAAATAAGGAAGGAGCAAACAAAAGATTCTTTAAGAAGTAAGAAAAATGCACCTTAAAAAAAACTTTATGTAAAAAGTTATGGCCCCATTCAAAACAAAATCTGTATGTGGGTATATCTATAAATTTTAAAGACATATTTTAAAATGTTTAATTATGGTTTTCTAGATGCTTAAGTACTCACAAAGTGGAGTTTCTTGAAAAATGCTTATGTAGGCAATAAATGTTTTAAAACTATCAAGAATTCAACAAAAGCAAATAATTAGCGTTATGACCAATACTATGGTTTTTTACTAATATTTAATTTGAAGATTAATGGAACTCATGATGTCAGTAACACTCATTAAACACCATAATGACCAAATTAAAGAATGACCTAAAAACTGAGATTGAAGAATCTTAAACAGAAAACTGTGAGGATGGCTAAAACAGAAGAAAATTTAAAATATGACCTCACCTTTTTCATCTGCTCTAATTCTGCTTCTATTTCACCTGGTCCCTCCGCAGAACTCAGACAAGGAGGAAGACTAGGGCTGAAGGCCATGAGGTCGGTCTTGGGCGGCCCCTCCCCAGAGCACACCCTCTGCCGCCTCTTCTGCGAGTAAGACCAGCTCCCCACCGCGCTGGAGCACACCAGCCTGGGCTTCCCCGGCCCGCACGCGCCCTCGCTGGGCGGCGCCGAGCACCGCAGCGCCGTGTACAGCAGCAGCGTGAGCACCAACAGGCTGGACACCGCGCAGATGGCGACGATCAGGTACACGTTCACATCCACTAACGCCGTCTCTGCGCCAGCTGCGCCAGACAACGCCCGCGAAGAGGCCTTGGGCGCCTGGCCACTGTCCTCCAGCGACAGCAGCACGGTGGCCGTGGCCGTCAGCGCCGGCTCGCCGTGGTCCTTCACCAGCACCAGCAGGCGCTGGCGCGGCGCGTCCGCCTCGTCCAGGGCGCGCGTCGTGCTGATCTCGCCGGTGTACAGCCCCACGCGGAACGGGCTCCGCGCGCCACCCGCCGCCGGCTGCAGCTCGTACGACAGCCACGCGTTGTAGCCCGAGTCCGCGTCCACCGCGCGCACCTTCGCCACCACGTGGCCCGCGTCCACGGACCTCGACACCACCTGGCTCACCGCGCTGGGTCCTCCGCCTGGCCCGGGCGGCAGCAGCGCAGGCGCGTTGTCGTTCTCGTCCAGCACGAACACCTGCAGCGTCACGTTGCTGCCCAGGGGCGGCACGCCCGCGTCGCGCGCGCTCACCTGGAACTGCAGCAGCTCCAGCTCCTCGTGGTCCAGCGGCTGCAGCGCGTACACCTTGCCGCTCTCCGCGTGCACCGACACGTAGCTCGACAGCGCGCGCTCGCCCACCCGCCGCTCCACCAGCGAGTAGGACACCTGCGCGTTCTCCTGCGCGTCCGCGTCCCGCGCCGACACGGTGAAGATGTGGCAGCCGGGCGGGTTGTTCTCCTTGACGAACACGGTGTACTCGGGCTGCGCGAACGCGGGCGCGTTGTCGTTCACGTCGGCCACCTCGACGGACACGCTGGCGGTGGCCGACAGTGAAGGCGAGCCCCTGTCCCTCGCAGTCACCACCACCTCATAATTCGCCACGCTTTCGCGGTTCAAGGTGTTGTCCAACACTAGTGAATAGTAATTCTTGAAGGTGGACACCAACTTAAATGGGTTTTGGGGCATCAGGGAGCAGGTCACCTGCCCGTTGGCGCCGGAGTCACGGTCGGACACGCTGAGCAAGGCGATGACAGTGCCCACCTGAGCGTCCTCTCGCACCGGAAGAGCCAAAGAAGTGATGGTAACTTCTGGAGCATTGTCATTTATATCTACTATTTCCACCAAAATGGTACAATGACCCGCCATTGGAATATTCCCCTTGTCAATCGCTTCCACGGATATTTCATACAATTTATTTTCTTCGAAATCCAGTTTACCTTTTGTCCTAATTTCTCCACTGTCGGGATTTATGTAAAACGCATATAATATTGCAGGTGATACAGGTCTTCTAAATGAGTAGGTTATGTCTGCATTTGTACCATCATCAGGGTCTGTGGCATTTAGTTTGATCACTAATGAGCCATTAAATGAGTTTTCTAACATTCTCACTTTATAGATTAATTGGTCAAATTCTGGTGCGTTGTCATTCACATCCAGGATTGTAATCAGCAGCTGAACTGTGCTGGTCAGCTCGGGTTTACCTCCATCACTAGCTGTCAATAATAAACTATGTTCCTGAATTTCTTCTCTGTCCAATGATTTCCTTAACAAAAGTGATAACGAAGACGTTTGTTCACGACTGTTCTGTGTGTCCAAAGTGAAATAATCGTTGGGATCGACTCGGTACGTCAAGGCGGAGTTTACTCCAATATCTGCATCAGATGCGCCATCTAGCGGGAACCGAGTTTCCGGAGGTCTAGATTCAGCAATGATTATTCTTTTTTCACTTTCTGGGAACACAGGCGGGTTGTCGTTAATATCTGTAACTTCCACCTCCACGTGGAACACCTGCAGCGGCCGGTCCACGATCACCTCCAGGTGGATGCTGCACTCCGCGCTCCGCCCGCACAGCTCCTCCCGGTCGATCCGAGAATTCACGAACAAAATGCCATTCTGCAGATTTACCTCCAGAAGGTCCCCGCGGCCTTTGGACGCCACCCGGAACAGGCGGGGCACCAGCTCCGCCAGCTCCAGTCCCAGGTCCTGAGCGATGCGGCCCACGAAGGTGCCGTGTTTTGCCTCCTCAGGAACAGAGTAGTGGACCTGGCCGCTCCCAGACTCCCAGGCTGCGAGGAGCAGAAGCGAGAGCAGCAAAAGCCGAGCTCCTGGGCCTTCTCTCCAGGAAAACAGCATGGTACACTCAAGAGCCTTCAGAGATATCTTAAGTATATAGGCTACCTTACTTCAAATGCCCCTCAAGGTCTAATTTTACAGCCTTCTATTGCGGGAGGATTCGCGGAGGTTTTCCACTATCTTCCCAATTTTCTCCTGGAAGGAAGGAGCGGAGGCTCTTTCTTCGCGGAATTGCTTTCAGTGAAGAGCGACACCATGCGCATGAATGTGTAAGTGTAATAACGACCCAGTTCATAATATCCGTTGCCGAAGGGGTTTTTTTTTTTCTTCTTCTTGCATTTCATGACATTTTTCACTGCAAATACGTAATGGAAGATTAAATGTTTTTCTCTCTAGCAACAGTTACTCACTGTATTCTGTTCAGCATTGGCTTCTAGTTGAAATCAGTTTATGAGTTCCATCTTTCCATAAAAATATTTTTGCATGTGTAAAACGTGGTGCAGAATTTGTAAAAAGAGGTAGTAGTCCACATTCACTTTTGGAAATCAGACTAGTTCTTTATAGCTTTGTAGGTTTTGGTGGGAATGTCCTTTTCCTGTAATATTTTTGAGACTTACTCACACAACTCCCTTGACTCCAAACAGAAACAACAAATCACATAAGAATGAAATAAATGAACATGGAAAATTCTGTAACTGATATACCAGATTTTGAATAAATACAATATTTTTAAGTTCCCCCAAACATGATTGTGAATTTGGATAAAATATTTGTATTGGAAGAAAATGTCCATCGATGTAGCTATGAGTTTGTATGTGAGTGTGTATGTACATAAACACACAATATTGACCATTAAGATATAACAATACTTTTTGAAGTCCTGGATTTTCTTTGTATAAACCATGCCAAGAACTAGTATCTCATGTATTTGCTAAAAATGAAATTACTACCAGTAGGTTAAACTTCCCTTTTCTTTCTCCCTATCTTATACCATTACTGGGGAATTTCCTACTATCATGTAAGTTGACTCTGATTTTCCAAGTAACAACAAGTAGATACAGATGTTAACACACCTCTAGCAAGGAAGAAAGGGAGGGACTCTTACTTTTATCTTTACCAAGTCACCAAGTTCCATGCCAATAGGGCTAAGAAAGAGAGAGTATAGCTCCATAATACTCTTGCCTGTTCTGTGCCCAACTCTGCAGGAAATAAGAGTTGGGTTCATTTCTGAACCTTTGGTCCCCTCTGAAAATGTGAGTATTTGATATTCTCTCACCATCATTCTCCTCATTGCTCCATTACTTTTATTAACACACCTTTACTTTTATAATGGGAATAGCTTCTTGATTCTAATTGTTCTTGTCTATCAGGCCCTACCTTGTCTTTTTTACCTCTCCACCTAACCTAGACCACACAGTCAACCATTTAAAACATGCCTTTCCAATAGTTTGGGAGTTTGCTATTGACATGTACACACTGCAACATTTAAAATGGATAGCCAACAAGAACCTACTGCATAGCACAAGGAACTCTACTCAATATTATGTGGCAGCCAGGATGGGAGGGGAGTTTGGCAAAGAATGGATACATGTGTATGTATAACTGAATCCCTTTGCTGTCTACCTGAAACTATCACAACATTGTTTATTGACTATACTCCAACACAAATTAAAATTTTAAAAAATAAAATAAAACATGCCCTTTCAGATACCCTATAGGTACATATCTTCTTATATCACCCCTCTTTAACATTTTCTTTAGCTTTCAATACACAGCCTAACCATTTTCTCCATGCTTTCTATTGAACTCCTCAGTTCATTAGCCACTTAACATTACTCTATTCTCTACAAGTTTATACTCACCTTTACTTCAATTGACCCCTCAAGTGAATTCATAATTCCTGCCCATAGAGATTCTTCCATACTTTCTCCTTTTTTCTCAAATTCCCAACCTCATTCCAACCATGTGATTCTCAGATGACTTACCCAGAAAGAAAAGTCATCAAATACAAATTCAATGGCTCTCTTCTTATGTCAACATTTCTCTTTATATTCTCTATTATTATTCACTACTAAGGAAAAATCATGCCACTTTTAAGGCCAACCCTACTGTCTTAATTTTTTTCTCTATTCTCATTCATATTTTTCATCTTCATCTTCATTTCTTCTCTGCCTGTCTGATTTTCAGTATCTCCCTCTTTACTTACTTCCTTCCCTCATGTTAAAAAAGACTCTAGAAAGGCTTTGTGTGGAAGAAAATTACAAGATGTAAAATACACTTTTAGAAGATTCACCTGATAATTGTATCAGAGCAGTAGCATGCCATAATGGGTTGGTGAACTTCCAAAACTGGGTTTGAGTCACTTTGCATGATCTATGTGGCTTAAGTTTCAGACTTATAAGTAGAATGCTAATAATAAATATTGTACCTGCACTGTAGGGGTGATTTCATAAGTAAATGAGATAATACAATTAAAGATCTTAGAACAGGTCCTGGACAAAATAGGGGGCGATAAATATTCTTTGGTTGTGCTGGGTCCCAGACCAGGGGTCAAACCTAGTCTTCCTGCTTTGGGAATGCAGAGTCTTAGCCACTGGACCACCAGACAAGTCCTGAATAACTATTCTTATATTTTACAGAATCAAAGAAATGTTACTAATTGTAAGATGTGCCATTACTTGTGTGCTCCCAAGAAAAAGAATCAGTTAAATTGTTATAAAACATTAATTATAAGGTGCATCCTGCTTTAGGTAGATATTACAACATTTTAAATGGCATATTTTATGTAAATAACAACAGTACTGTAGCCAATCACAATGGAAAGAAAGAAGGTACTCTATGGGAGCAATAACATAAATTACTCATTTTAGAATTGATAACAATTTTTATTATACTACTTCAAAGGGGATTGTACTGCAACTAGATGAGTGATCAAGAAGACTACTTTACAAGACTATGCATGTAAAGAGCAGTAAAGGAATCTAGTTTATGATATCTGGGAACTCTCTACACTAGCCTTGCAAATTTCATTTAATTATGAAATTGAGTACCAATTAAAAATAAATTTATCAGAACTTAGACAGTGTTTACTCAAATGTACTTATTTCTTTCAAGGCTAGAAATTCATAGATAATATGAAAAGTTATAGAGCCAGGAAACTTTAAATCTGGTTATCCATGGCCTCCATTTTATCTTCTCCAATTATTTAATGCTTGAAATGCTGAAAATAATTGGAAAAGATAAAACGGAATGCTGGGAAAGATTGAAGGCAGAAGGAGAAAGGGACCGCAGAGGATGAGATGGTTGGATGGCATCACCGACTCAATGGACATAAGTTTGAGCAAGCTCTGGGTGCTGGTGATGGAAAGGAAAGCCTGGCATCCATGGGATCGAGAAGAGTCAGACGCGACTGAACTGAACCAAATGCTTGAAAATTTGGGCTAATACATAAAAACTACAAAATGACTGACATACTTAAATGATATCAAGGACTTACTTCACTGGAAGGATTTAAACAATCTTCTCCAGACGCTGGAAGACAGGGACTGAAGGCGATGAGGTCGGTCTTGGGCGGCCCCTCCCCAGAGCACACCCTCTGCCGCCTCTCCTGCGAGTAAGACCAGCTCCCCACCGCGCTGGAGCACACCAGCCTGGGCTTCCCCGGCCCGCACGCGCCCTCGCTGGGCGGCGCCGAGCACCGCAGCGCCGTGTACAGCAGCAGCGTGAGCACCAACAGGCTGGACACCGCGCAGACGGCGACGATCAGGTACACGTTCACATCCACTAACGCCATCTCTGCGCCAGCTGCACCAGACAACGCCCGCGAAGAGGCCTTGGGAGCCTGGCCACTGTCCTCCAGCGACAGCAGCACGGTGGCCGTGGCCGTCAGCGCCGGCTCGCCGTGGTCCTTCACCAGCACCAGCAGGCGCTGGCGCGGCGCGTCCGCCTCGTCCAGGGCGCGCGTCGTGCTGATCTCGCCGGTGTACAGCCCCACGCGGAACGGGCTCCGCGCGCCACCCGCCGCCGGCTGCAGCTCGTACGACAGCCACGCGTTGTAGCCCGAGTCCGCGTCCACCGCGCGCACCTTCGCCACCACGTGGCCCGCGTCCACGGACCTCGACACCACCTGGCTCACCGCGCTGGGTCCTCCGCCTGGCCCGGGCGGCAGCAGCGCAGGCGCGTTGTCGTTCTCGTCCAGCACGAACACCTGCAGCGTCACGTTGCTGCCCAGGGGCGGCACGCCCGCGTCGCGCGCGCTCACCTGGAACTGCAGCAGCTCCAGCTCCTCGTGGTCCAGCGGCTGCAGCGCGTACACCTTGCCGCTCTCCGCGTGCACCGACACGTAGCTCGACAGCGCGCGCTCGCCCACCCGCCGCTCCACCAGCGAGTAGGTCACCAGCGCGTTCTCCTGCGCGTCCGCGTCCCGCGCCGACACGGTGAAGATGTGGCAGCCGGGCGGGTTGTTCTCCTTCACGAACACGGTGTACTCGGGCTGTGGGAACTCGGGTGCATTGTCGTTCACGTCGGCCACCTCCACGGACACGCTGGCGGTGGCCGAGAGAGAAGGCAAGCCACCGTCCCTCGCTGTCACCACCACCTCATAGTTCGACGCACTCTCGCGGTCCAGGGCGCTGTCCAGCACTAGTGAATAGTAATTCTTGAAGGTGGACACCAGCTTGAAGGGGAAATGGGGTGGTGTGAGTGAGCAGGTCACCTGCCCATTGGCGCCGGAGTCACAGTCAGACACGCTGATCAAGGCAATGACAGTGCCCACCAGAGCGTCCTCCCGCACTGGGAGCGAGAGCGAAGTGATCCTTACCTCAGGGGTATTGTCATTCAGGTCTAGAACTTCCACCAGGACCGTGCAATGACCAGCCATGGGCGGAATCCCTTTATCAATGGCGTTAACCTGGATTTCATACTCATTATTCTCTTCAAAATCCAGTTTCCCATAAATTCTAATTTCACCTGTTTCTGGATTTATTAAAAACATACATTTCTCACTCTGTGGCAGAATCATTCTGATTCCATAGGAAATTTCTCTGTTTGGCCCTTCATCTAGATCAGAAGCGTTTAGTTGAATGATTCTAGTGCCGTTTGGGACATTTTCAAACAGCTCCACTTTATAGCCAGGCTTATCAAACTCAGGAGCATTGTCATTAACATCCAGGATGGTTATTTGAATCTGAACAGATCCTGTTAGCTGGGGTTTACCGCCATCCAGAGCGGTCAGCAACATATTATGTTCTGGTATTTCTTCTCTATCCAATGACTTCCGAAGAATGAGTTCAGGCAATATACTTCTGTCGGTTTTCGTTATTAGTTTAAGAGTAAAATACTCATTTAGACTTAACCTATAGGTCAGAAGAGAGTTTAGGCCGATATCCGCATCAGACGCGCCCTCTAGAGGAAAACGAGACTCCAAAGGAGCAGATTCAGAAATGAGTACCTTTTGTTCTCCTCTGAATACTGGCGGATTGTCGTTAATGTCCTTCACCTCCACCTCCACATGGAACACCTGCAGCGGCCGGTCCACGATCACCTCCAGGTGGATGCTGCACTCCGCGCTCCGCCCGCACAGCTCCTCCCGGTCGATCCGAGAATTCACAAACAAAATGCCATTCTGCAGATTTACCTCCAGAAGTTCCCCGCGGCCTTTGGACGCCACCCGGAACAGGCGGGGCACCAGCTCCGCCAGCTCCAGTCCTAGGTCCTGAGCGATGCGGCCCACGAATGTGCCGTGTTTTGCCTCCTCGGGAACCGAGTAATGGACCTGGCCGCTCCCAGACTCCCAGGCTGAGAGTAGCAAAACCGAGAGTAGCAGGCACCGAGCTTCGAAGCCTCCTCGCCAAGAAAACACCATTGCAGATAAAGGGATCTCTGAGGTGAGACTGTCAGTTTTAAGGGATAGCTCGCCTGCCAACATTTATGACCAGTCTCCCCTTCTGTAAGTATATCTTCAGTAAATTTTACCCAGCTTTCCGGTCAATATGGAGTCTATCCTATTCTGTGGATTGTTGGAATCTGGACTTGGAGACAGTTTTCCCTTTTCACCTTTTGAGTATACAGCGACATCATGTGACTGATTATGTAAGTACAAGAAAGATCCCAAGGTTCTTTTTGGTTTAGCCACTTCTTGGTTCACTTTAAATATGTTTCAACTTTTTGGATAGTTTCATGGATCATTTGCAAATACGTATTTAATATATATAATATTCTTAACAAAGCACAAATACTTCTATTATACTTCAGTTTTTAAAATAATTCTGCTTCAAAGTCTATCATAAAATAATCATTGAAATGTGGCATGTGAGAAGTTACTCATTAGCTAGCTATTGTGGAAAATAAAATGAAGAATAATATCTATCACCCCTGCCACTGGGCTTCCCAGATGACAAAGTGGTAAAGAATCCATCTGCCAGTGCAGGAGATGCAAGAGACGGGTTTGATTCCTCGGTGGGGAAGATGCCCTGAAGTAGGAAATGGCAACCCACTCCAGTATTCTTGCCTGGAAATTTTCATGGACAGAGGAATCTGTCAGGCTACAGCGCATAGGGTTGCAAAGAGTCGGATATGACTGAGAACACCGCCCCGGCCCTTATATTGCTTACAACTCACATTCATAATGAATTTCATCCTTCACAAGCACTTCATTCTAAGTCTTTATGAGAAAGCCAAGAATTTCCTTGTCTAGTAAAGGAGAACGGAGAAGGCAATGGCACCCCACTCCAGTACTCTTGCCTGGAAAATCCCATGGATGGAGGAGCCTGGTAGGCTGCAGTTCATGGGGTCGCGAAGAGTCGGACATGACTGAGCGACTTCACTTTCACTTTTCACTTTTATGCATTGGAGAAGGAAATGGCAACCTACTCCAGTGTTCTTGCCTGGAGAATCCCAGGGATCGGGTCGCACAGAGTTGGGCATGACTGAAGTGACTTAGCAGCAGCAGTAGCAGTAAAGGAGAAAATATTTCATTCATATAAATTATTTTATTCATAAATATGGCCAATATTAGAACTCATTAATATGGAAGATGTTATTTTTGGTTCCTTGATGCTCACATGTGATGACTTTTCATACAGCTACTCTCATTCTTATAATATATTGAAAAATGAATTGTGGGTGCAGATTCTAGAATACTTTACTCTAGCAGGAGTAAAGCATTTTCATGTAAAATGTTGAGTCAAAACCTCCAAATTTCATGGTGTTCTGAAGTGGTAGTAGAGCACTAATCTGAAAAAGATATCATGAGATGTTGTGGAGCCCAATCTCATTGACTAAAGTCAAAAGAACATGAACTTCATAATGACCATTTTGTGTCCCTCTATATCCTTCCTTCCAGGCCAGTTAGTAGTTATATAAAATAAGCTTCTCTTCAGAAGATCACAATGGTGACTATGATTCAAGGCAGAATCAAAATATTTCTCATAATTTTATTCAGTAATTCAAGACTAGCTTTAAGGGAAAACAACACAGATAGGATCCTACAGAAGTAGTAAAAAATAAAAGTAAGCATATTATTTAGAAGCTCATTTAAATTTAAATCAAAATCTTTAAACCAATAATTTCTCATTATTATTTTAACACATAATAAAGGAAATTGAGATGTGAAATTTTAAAGAGCCAGAAAATAATAACCAAGAATGATTCTACAAGTGTAAAATAACTTAAATCAACTACCACACTCACTCTGAATTAATGAAATACATAGTTGAATTTTGATGCTATGGGACTATTCAAACTATCTATCACCATCAAGCTTATTCATTTTATATATTCATTTTATTCATTTTATATTCATTTTATACATTTTCAAAAATGTCAATGTACCATAATTCACAAGGAACCTTATTGTAATGTATTCAGGAGACCCAATACATCCTCACTCACTGTTAGACATAATTAAATGATTAAACTGATAGAAAAATCCAATGTTAGCTCAATAATTAAACAATCAAACTACAAAATAGAATGAAATAACAATTTTGCATTCTACAATGTAATCTTGAAATTTAAATTAAGAATAAAAGACACTAAATTTGTAGAAATTAATCCACATAACTTGGGATTATCTAAAATGTGTATTGATTACTTATATATTATGCAATAGTAACAATCTGCAAAATTTTAACCTGGACCTAAAACATTACAATATGTTTAATATTAAATTAAAATGATGTTGAGTCATTCCAAGAAGTTAGTTTGGAAATGGGTAATATTACGTGCCCTACCTAACATTCACATTTATTTATATTTACAAACTTTCATAAATGATATGATTCATTACTTTTGAGCCTGAAATATTTTATATTTTAATCTTATTGACTAATTTGGAACAAAGAATGTTTTTAGACAATTAATATTGAGATATAAAGTTTCATAAAAAGAGGGCCAAGGATGAGCTTCAGCATGGAGTCCTTGACTATTATGCCAAGTGGTTTGCTGTGTAATTTTAAAGGGAGAATGACTTTCATCAGCTTTTCAAAAGAGGTCAGCAATTCCACCATCCTACATGTGGCTAAGAACCACTGAATTAGAAGGATGACCTAGAGACAAATGATTTTTTCTAGAATCTTCAGATGTGGTACACGGGCATGTATATTCATGGGTATATTACATGGAAAGAAATTTTTACAAATGCCAGCAATAAAGCATTTAAGGATAGGAAATTTAAAATGAAAGAAACTGATAAATGTCAATAGGCTTCACTTTGATAGAAGTAATTTTTTCTATATAGATCAAACCAGCAACTTAAGAAATAATGCCAACTAGCACATATTGCAGATGTTATAAGCCTATATGCATGCCTTTAGCAAGTTTGAATGATTTGATTGAGGAATATTAATAACCTTATTTGCCTAGTGACTCTGGCAGCTTTGTTTGCTTTGTTTCAGTATGTAGTAGATAAATCTCTCCCCATTTCAAAGGACAAAATTACAAAATTAAAAATGGACAGAAATTTTAGTTATATTATTTCAATGAAATAAGCACACTAGAACTGCACTCTTTTACCACAAATAACATGAAAACAGGTTTTATCTTATTGGTAGAAGAAAGACTGAGGATTATTTAATGGACAATAGATGTATGATGAAATGTTCAAAACCAAAAAAAAAAAAGGAAATCCTTTCAGAACTAATTAACAGTGTTAAAATTTTGATACAAGTCTGAAGTGACAAAAGTCATTGATCTAATAATGTGAAAATATCAAAGCTAAAGCTTGTTTAAAAAAGCAAAGAGGATGAGTAAAATTTTAAAAATCCATAGTTATTATCTATATTAATTAGGATTAGGTGTGACGGAGTGATTTGGGTAGATGAGTTGAAAATAAGAAATTATTTCTAATAAAGTGGTGACAAAAACGTCCTTCTTTCATCTTCATTTTTTTAACATGTTCTAACAAAACATTAGGAGAAATGGGATATTTACTGGCTAAGTAGCCTAATACTTTATATGATAAAAATTGGATATGTGTATCATTTGGCATTTCGCTAACAAATGTTTTTAAAAACGATACTCGAAGTACAAGACATCCATGAAACAAACTGGATTTTTTAAACAATTAACATAAACTTCAAGAAGAGGGGAAGGATCTATAGAACTCACCAGACCAGAATGATTTGATCCTACCTCCTTCCTCTCTTCTTCGACTTCTCTATCCAGACCGGGAGGTAGGCTGGGACTGAAGGCCATGAGGTCGGTCTTGGGCGGCCCCTCCCCAGAGCACACCCTCTGCCGCCTCTCCTGCGAGTAAGACCAGCTCCCCACCGCGCTGGAGCACACCAGCCTGGGCTTCCCCGGCCCGCACGCGCCCTCGCTGGGCGGCGCCGAGCACCGCAGCGCCGTGTACAGCAGCAGCGTGAGCACCAACAGGCTGGACACCGCGCAGATGGCGACGATCAGGTACACGTTCACATCCACTAACGCCGTCTCTGCGCCAGCTGCACCAGACAACGCCCGCGAAGAGGCCTTGGGAGCCTGGCCACTGTCCTCCAGCGACAGCAGCACGGTGGCCGTGGCCGTCAGCGCCGGCTCGCCGTGGTCCTTCACCAGCACCAGCAGGCGCTGGCGCGGCGCGTCCGCCTCGTCCAGGGCGCGCGTCGTGCTGATCTCGCCGGTGTACAGCCCCACGCGGAACGGGCTCCGCGCGCCACCCGCCGCCGGCTGCAGCTCGTACGACAGCCACGCGTTGTAGCCCGAGTCCGCGTCCACCGCGCGCACCTTCGCCACCACGTGGCCCGCGTCCACGGACCTCGACACCACCTGGCTCACCGCGCTGGGTCCTCCGCCTGGCCCGGGCGGCAGCAGCGCAGGCGCGTTGTCGTTCTCGTCCAGCACGAACACCTGCAGCGTCACGTTGCTGCCCAGGGGCGGCACGCCCGCGTCGCGCGCGCTCACCTGGAACTGCAGCAGCTCCAGCTCCTCGTGGTCCAGCGGCTGCAGCGCGTACACCTTGCCGCTCTCCGCGTGCACCGACACGTAGCTCGACAGCGCGCGCTCGCCCACCCGCCGCTCCACCAGCGAGTAGGTCACCAGCGCGTTCTCCTGCGCGTCCGCGTCCCGCGCCGACACGGTGAAGATGTGGCAGCCAGGCGGGTTGTTCTCCTTGACGAACACGGTGTACTCGGGCTGCGCGAACGCGGGCGCGTTGTCGTTCACGTCGGCCACCTCCACGGACACGCTCGCAGTGGCGGACAGCGAAGGCGAGCCCCCGTCCCGCGCTGTCACCACCAACTTATAGACAGACACGCTCTCACGGTCCAGGCTGCCGTCCAGCAATAGTGAATAGTAGTTCTTGAACGTGGACACGATCTTGAAGGGGACGTTGGGCGTTAGAAAGCAGGTTACCTGTCCATTGTCACCAGAGTCTCGATCAGATACACTGATCAGCGCAATGACAGTGCTTGGCTGAGTGTCCTCTCGTACTGGTAGAGACAGGGAAGTGACAGTGATTTCAGGGGCGTTATCATTGGCATCTAAGATTTCAACCCAGACTGTGCAGTGACCTGCCATTGGGGGATTCCCCTTATCTGTGGCCTGTACTTCAATTTCATAAAACTTGTTTTCTTCATAGTCTAAAGTTCCATTGACCTTCACTTCTCCGTTATTTTCATCTAGTGTAAATAAAGGTTTTCCATTGGGCTTAATTGACATTAAGGAGTATGTTACCTCCCCGTTGACTCCTTCATCTTGATCTGTGGCATTTAACTGTATCACAAGAGTTTCTTTAGCTGCGTTTTCCATCAATCTTACCTTGTATTCTGATTGTTCAAATTCCGGATCATTGTCGTTAATATCCAAGACGCGGATGAAGAGTTGAACAGTGCCAGTGAGCTCCGGTTTCCCTCCATCTGCAGCCGTCAGGAGTAAATTAAATTCCGGAGTTTTCTCTCTGTCTAGAGACTTCTTTAACGTAAGTGACAGTTTTTTAGTCGCCTTACTATTTATTGGTAATTCTAAAGAAAAGTACTCATTTTTACTTAGTCTGTAGGTCAATTGAGCATTCTCTCCTATATCCGCATCAGAAGCTCCCTCTAGAGGAAAACGAGAGTCAGGTTGTTTAGATTCAGAAATCAGCAGCTTTTGTTCCCTGAGAGAGAACACAGGCGGGTTGTCGTTAATGTCCTTCACCTCCACCTCCACATGGAACACCTGCAGCGGCCGGTCCACGATCACCTCCAGGTGGATGCTGCACTCCGCGCTCCGCCCGCACAGCTCCTCCCGGTCGATCCGAGAATTCACGAACAAAATGCCATTCTGCAGATTTACCTCCAGAAGGTCCCCGCGGCCTTTGGACGCCACCCGGAACAGGCGGGGCACCAGCTCCGCCAACTCCAGTCCCAGGTCCTGGGCGATGCGGCCCACGAAGGTGCCGTGTTTGGCCTCCTCAGGGACGGAGTAGTGGACCTGGCCGCTCCCTGCCTCCCAAGCTGCGAGGAGCAGAAGCGACAGCAGCAGTCTCCCATTGCCCAATCCACTTCTTTGAGTCGCGGACATCTCATATACTGACTTCCAAAATACGATACTTTACACTTACAGTACCATAGACTCGAGTTCCCGGTTAAATATCTTGCTGAATCTTTGAGAAGTTTCAAAGGATCCTTTAACGGTAGCATCCGGCATGACGGAGTCTTTAAATGGGGAGTTCCTGGCAGCGCAGACTAACCCTTGAATGAACTACTTCCTCCAAGTAAAGAGCGACACCTTGTGCCTGAAATTGTGAGTATTGTACCGTACATCCAACACCACAGAATTGTACTTGAAGAGAAAAAAATAAGTTCACGTGTTTCAAGCTATTTTATACCCTAAATATTTCCAAAGTGCTTATTTGTGGAACATTCAGATTTTAAGTCATATTGAAATTGATGGTATATGGAAAATGGTGCTTTTTTCTTGATTAACGTCAAACTGAAATGTTTGTTCCTATGTTTGATTTAGAGCTCTTTTACTTATCTACACGTATACACACACCGAGAGAGATGGAGAGAGATCAATTCTATAGATAGCCTTATGAAAAAAAGAGTCAAACATTTCCTCATATAAAAATTGTTTTACTTCTAGTTTCTCTTGGTACTTCAGCTGCTAGGAAACTCAAAGACAAATTTGAAACTTTAATAACAATTCTTTAGTCTTTAAGCCTACATATTGTATTTTTATCTATGTGCACTATGTGTACTTGCTTTTGATTTGTACTTTTCTTTAGCTCTAATTCTTCATTGGCATTTACATTTAATTGTGTTCCTGTTACAAGAAACTTTATATCCACTAAAGAACAACCAGGAAAACAAAAATATATTTCAAATTTTGTGATTTAAGACATGAAATTCACAAGAGAAAAGTCTATTGATGTAAATGAAATTTATATATGGCATATATGATTTCTCATGTAAGCTGCATTGCTAACAATATAATAACAGGTATCAAAATGGTTACTTTGTTACTTTATGTAATGGTGTCAGTATATGAAAGACTACTTCTTTCATAGTAAACTTTTTTACCATTCAATGAAATAAAAATCACCATGAAAACTTCTGTGCCATATTGGTATTTCCTCTCAACAACATTGGCTTTTATATATCTATCAAGATATAGTCATGAAAATAGTTGACCTATTTCTTCTTTTAAAAAAATTCTGGATTTGAGGTTGTAAATTTATCCAAAATAAGGGAAATTATTTTTAAACACTTTGCCTCTAAGTGCCTAATATTGTGCTAAAGAAGAGAGAAAATAATCGATTTAACCAAAAACTAAATGACCTCAGTGTTAATGGAAATTCAATTTCATAAGATATCAACTAGAAAATTGGAACTGATGTGTATTTTCATCGCCTGAAGTTGCACTTTAGTTACATGTCCTTTATTGTTTCATATTACTTTGGGATTTGAGTAAGGAAAAAAGGGTACAGTGAAAGCTGAGAGAAGAAAGTGATTCAGGATAAATATCATTCTAGCTTGAGTATTTTGTTGTACAGTTTTGATGGTTCATATCCAATCTAAAAATATTACAGTAAAAAATTGCTAGTATATTTATTTTTATGTTAATATTTTCTTTTATCTTGAATACACACATATGTTCTATTGCTAATTTCAAATCTTGTTTCATTTACTTCAAGTTTGTTCTTTTCCCAACATTATTATTCTGCTAGAACTGTCTTTAAAGTAAATTTAAAATTCCTTTTTAAAAAACTAACAAAACAGACTGATAACTATTTGTGACACTGAATTCTGTTATGCATCTATTAATAGAAAACAACCAGTCAAATAGGCCTAATTTCAAAGTATACCATTAGGCTACAGAACAGTAGATCTAACATGATATTTGAAGCCTGTCAGATTTGGCAGAAGAAAGAAGCAACAGACTTCCAACCACTTCCCCAAGGAAACTTGGGATTGAGATGTTACATGCAATGTGAAGTTTTTAAAGGTAGAGAAATAAATATGAGAAAGTTTATCTGAGAGATTATATTACATGTCTAAATTCAAACCACGTTACACAAGTATATTAAGTGACACTGGAAGAACACCAAGTCATAAAGGAGTTGGATATACTGTATGAACCAATGTCACATCCATTGCATTTTGGCTGTGATACTTCAGATTTCATCATCTCAACTAGCTCCTATAGAATAGATTATTATATCTTTGAACTTATCTTTGGGGATGGGCCTGAGATCTGGTAATAGGCTGGTGCCAAGAAATCACATCTATATAATATGTTAACATTGATTTTGTAAGATTGACTGAAAAGATTAAGGAACTTTGACCCTGACCTTTTCAAAATCAATCTGCTTAGTCTTAAATTCCAGCTGTAGGTCCTGCTAGTCAAGTGTTAGAGTGCCTGGTGTAATGTTCTGCCAGTCCTCATCATCCACTAATATTCCATAATAGATCTAGTACTACTATTTATTGAAAACATAGAACCAAATATAAATCTGGAAGCCACTCTTGGAAACCAGTAGGTTTTTCAAAACTAATGGATTAGAAGTACCATTCAGCATTGTATCTACAAAACTACAGAATATAAGCAGTGATGTTCACTCTGTGCTATCATGACTCATTGAAATATACAGTTATTTGATCACAGATTATTTGTTCAGTTGGCACAATCTCTCAGGCAACAGTAAGACTGAAGAAGACTGGATTCTGAAAGACCTATGCACATTCAAATATTTTTATG